CGCGGCCTTCGCGGGTGCTGGGGGTCGGCCCCGGCGGGCGGCACAGGGAGGCGAGGGGCCCGGCCTCGCGCGCCTGGCTGACGGTCATCTGGAGGGCTTCTAGGGGCCCATCCCTTGCCTTTCCAGCACCTGGGCAGGGCCAGGTCTGTACACCTGGAGGCGGGGACTCGGTGCTTTTCTGTCTGGGTCCCTGGAAGGGTGATAAGGCGACTGTGTCTGTCCTCCTGGGGACAGCTCTTCTGTCTGGGTCCTTGGCTGGGTGAGTATGGGGTCTCCATAACCAGGGTACCTGTGGAATCCTCCTTAGGGTTTTCCGCTTAAGCTCCCTGAACTGGTGGGTGGGCAGGTGGGCAGGTAGGCTGTGTCTGTCCCTGGGTGCCGCCTTCGAGGCTGTCAGTGGAGGCCCGGGAGGCTGGGTTGCTCTTCCCAGGGAGGGGAGTTTGGGGACAAACTGACAGCTAGTCTCTAGCCCCCACTCCCTCCAGGTGACCCTGCCTGCCTTGACACCTTTGGGGTGTGTGAGTGTGGGATGAAACTGCTGCTTTTCTGTGGGCATGTGAAAGGGCGGTCGGTTGCTGCAGGTGGGGGACCCCACCTGGTAGGCACCTGGGCGGAAGCACCGGCCACTGCATCTGGTGTCAGCAGACTCTTGAACTTCTCAGGAGCCTATTTGAGCCCATCTGGGGAAGTTTGAGGTGTTTCGGTTCTGCTGTGGGGCTTGGGGGCGGGGGGGAGATGGCTATTGTGCTCAGTCCTGGCAGGTCTTGGGCACATCTGGGCCCATGGTCAGAACCTGCTGCTCCCGTTTCTGTGTGTCATGGCACCCTCCTTCCCTTTGGGGACCTGAGTTGCAGGTGTTCAATGGACAGGTCCTGGGAGGAAGTGGTTTTCAGTGCTTTGCCTCCATGCCTGGAAAGTGGGGTCTTCAGAGTGATAAGGTGGCAGGGTGGGAGGCATCTGATCTTGGGGAGGCCTGGTTCTCTGCGTGTGTTTGTGTCTTTGGGGGGGGGGGCCGCGGGCGCTAGAGGAAAGACTAACTAGGAAGGAATGTGGCGTTCTTCCTGCCGTGAACTCGCTTGGCACTGTGAACCAAGCTGGGAATTTCTTCCCCTTTTGGTTTCCTTAGTGCTCGGGGTGCCAAACCTTCCAGGCACCTTTTCCTTCTTCTTTGGGTAACTTCCTTCCCCGCTCAATGCCTCAGTTTCCTCTTCTGTCAAGCAGAGATCTCAGCTTGGTTTGGAAGAGCCAGTTCTCACCTTATTTAAAGGGTTTTCGACAGGAGGCGGGTGCGCCCCCACAGGTGAGGAGGTGGCCTGAGCTGAAGCCTCCTTCCTGGTGGAATTCAGGCCACGAATAGTCTTACCTGGTGATACTGGTGTGTTCTGCGGGAAGAAAGGCATCTTTCCTAGCAGCAGCTGGGGGAGAGCCCATGAGTCACAGGAGTAAGGTGGATGCGGGACCTAGTCACTCCAGGTTGCAGCCCTTACCCGCCCCATTTGTCAAAAACCCAGCTTGGCACCCATCTCCTGCCATCACATTGCTATTTTTAATTTTGGGTGTGGGTGATATCCCATTCCCAGCTGGGTCTTCCTCCTGTGAGTGTGAAGGTAATTGCAGATGGCCAAGCTGTCCCCAGCATGGCCTGAGAGTAGAGTGCTTACCAGCCAGGGCTCTCTCTGGGCTGTTTGGGGCAACTTGGCCAGGGCTTACATTTTGGGATGACCCACACTTGTGTTTTTCTTTGAAGCTGTCAGGGAATTTAATCTGCTCAGCAGTTTTTTGGTTTTTTCTTCCCTGTTGGGCAATGCGTTGAGTGGAGCATGGATCAGGGCAGCTCAAACTCCCATGAGTTTTGGGTGGTGGGATTGGAAAGTGACTTGGAGAACTTGTTTGTGTAAATGGAGATGCTCATTGGTTCCTAACAAAACCTCACATGTACAGTCTGTCAACAGCTGTCTGTTCAGAGTCTTCTGTCATCTAGCTCTATGGTTAAGTGGTTTGCCAATAGGAACTCATGGGGAAGGCTTTTGCATTTTTTAACTGGGATGAGACTTTTACAGACTCAGGTGTGTCAGGGCACGGGGAAGGTGCATTGTGTAGAATGTCCTTTTGTGGCTCTGGGAGCTGTCAGAGCAGCCCGGTAGCCCGGGTACAGGCCTTCTGTCTCTCTCTGCAGAGGGGCCTGGAATTGGAGCCGCCTCAACCGGATGACCAGCCCAAATGTGCTGGAAGGTCTGGCATCTAGCTGCTGATTGCTGACTCTGGGGGGCCTCTCTTTGATGTAAACACACAGTGAATTTTGAGCCAGCTACTCGCTTGATTGCTCTCCCTTATGTGGAGGGGTGACTTCTGGTAGAGGAGAGAGGAAATTCTGACATCACCCATCCTTCCAGGACAACGTCACGCTACCCCATTGCGGTGTTCCCTGACCACACTGCAGGAAGTGGCTCTGCCTAAGACACCTGCCTCTCCTACCTAGGTGACATCTCTTCGTTGGGGCTCTGGTGGAGCTCAGCTGACAGGCAACTTTCTCCTTTCTGGATTACAGACTCCTTGGTAGAGTTGCTATGAGTTGGAATTGACTTGACAGCAACGGGTTTGGTTTTTGATTTTTACAGGAAGTGGCACATCATTGTTCAGCAGACATTGAGGGCCTGGGTAGGACTTTCAAAGCCTGGGGTTTGAAGACCTACCTGGGTTTGCATTTTGGTTCTACTTGTGTGAGGCTTTGGGTGGTTGTCCAACCTGTCTGATTTTAGATCCTTCTCAGGGCCGTGAGGGTCCCAGTGCCTGACCCTCCTAGAGTTCCAAACCATTCTTCTCTTCAGGGCTGTGAGGGTCCCAGTGACAGACCCTTCCTGAGTTCTGGATCCTTGCCTGCAGGGCTACGAGGGTCCTCATGCCCAGCCTCTCAGATTCTGGCTCCTCTTCCTCAACTGTGAGGGTCCCAGCACCTGACGCCTCTGATTCTAGATGTGTGAGAGTTCCAGTGACTGGCCCTCCCTGAGTTCCGTATCCTCCTCAGGGCTGTGGGGCTCTGTTAGGGTGTGTGCAGCTCTGGCCCCTCTTGGGCTCTCAGATCCCCGAGACAGTTCCTGTTGTTGTCTCCCAGTGGCAGCACCCTTACCTGTGTAGGGCCTGTAGGGGTACAGAGAGCGTAGGCTCTTGTTTTACAAACTTAGGGAGTACCTGCAGGTGACCAGACCATCCCAGATCACGGGCCAACCCTCTAGACAAGAGCCAGGCATGACCAAGGCAACAGGTCCATCAGCAGAAAAACCTCATCAGTAGTCCTTATCAGCAAGGAACTGAAATCACCACCGTGTGGGGGCTGGGCCATGGGGTTCCTCCCATGAAGCACCAGTTGTTGAGCTGAGAAGGGAGTAGAGGGTCTGGGCTGCGGTAGCCTGGAGCATGGTGGGCCGAGCAGGCAGAGGAGCAGGCGGGGACCCCATGAGCATCCCTGCAGCCTCATGGGCAGTGGAGGCTGCTCGCCAGCTGATGGGTGGGTAGTGTGGGGATGTCACCCAGGCACCGGCAGGAGAATCCTTAATTTAGCTCATTCCTCTCCCACAGTGCAGAGCGCCGCCAACCCTCCGTCTTTGGTAACCCGGCCAAAGCAGGGTGGCCTCCTGCATCCTCTCCTGCCATGTGGATGTGGCTCCTAGGAACCCTCAGAGGGTACCTGTCACCTTCCTGATGACTTGGTGGGGGTGGCTTTTATGCTCTGGGGATGTGGAAGCTCAGAGGGCCAGTGCCACCTGCCCAGGCCACCTGAGTGTCTGAGCTGAGGTCTCCTTATGGGGCTGGGAGGGAACTTGAGCCACACGGAATGCAACCGTGGAAGGGAGTAGCACGTGGCCTTGTGCCCTGGGCCTGTGCACACAGGACACAGTCGGGTGGTGGCCAAGCAGAGGCCAAGGGTACCACTATGTCTTTACAGTGCCCCCTCTCTGGCATCCTCTTTTGTCCCGATGTCAGCTCTGGGGTGGGGTGCCCACCCCACAGGGGGAGAAGGCTGAGTCACTGGGTGGAGGCTCCCAGCTGGGCAGGGGGTGTGGACCTGGCCTAGGTGAGGGCGGGGCGGGGACAGGCGGTCAGGGCAGATTTGCCTGTGTTTCAGTGTGGGCCTTGTAGGTTCTGGGTGGTGTGATTTCCTCCCAGTGGTAGTCCTCTGGGTGCGGGGTGAGGCCAGCACCCCTGAGGCTGGGTTTAATAAATGGGAGTGGGGCATGGGAGTGTGAGAGACTGGGTGCTGCCCTGGCCTTTGTGACCTGTGACCCCTAGCTCTGCTTCTGGCAGTGTGGCTGCTATGGGCGATAATTGTGTATAAACAGCAGGCGCTCATGGAAGCCCTCCCCCTGACTCATCAGGAAGGCCAGAGTTCATCCCAGAGCCGGTTTGACATCACGTTGGATTGTGACATCGCCAGGGGACCTCAGAAGAGCCAGCCAACTGGAAAACAGGCTCCACTCCAGAGGGGCCCTGGGGGTGGAGACGGCTGTGTTTGGTTTCTTCTGTGTCTCCCTATTCAGGAGCCTGTTTCCCTGCTTTAAGCCTTTATGGCTTAAACTATCACCTCTTCTTCCACGGTCTAAGACTTGGAGCACTGCAGTGTCTGTAATGTCTTCAGTCACTCACAGAGCCCAAAGGGGTTCACTTGAGAACAGCCCCCCAAACAATTTCACTTTGTCACTTTGTTTAAAGAGCTGGTAGCCAAACGCTCTCAAGGGGACACTGTTTCACCAAATCAGGTGTCCATAGGACTTCCCAGTGGAGCAGACCTCTGGAACCTGTGCTAATTATATCTGCCGCTGGCCCTGCCAGCCAAGACACAAACTCTCCTGGGTCACACTGGCCATGGGGACATGCAGCTCCCTGGGTCACATAGGCACAGATGTGGGCAGGGACTGGACATGTGGAGCACGCCTGCTCCTTTCTCCTGAGGAGCGAGCATGTAGGGTCCAAGAAGGAGCACTCCACTCCTGTTGCCAGCCGGTGGTCACACAGATGCCTCTGCCCTTTGTTTCAGCTTCTGAGAGGGTTGGCCTGTGTGTTTTCAGTGTGGTGTCATGCCCGCCTTCTTCCTTCCTTCCTTCCTTTTTTTTTTGTGATCGTCACCTTCGTTTTTCAGTGATTGCGTTCACCCCAACGAATCACTATTCTGGAACATCCTTGTGCTGCGAGCACCATGCCTAGTCCTGGGTTCTGGATGAGCTGAAACTGTGTTTGCCACAATCCAACTCACTGCTCTCCTGGGGCTGTGTAGGACGACTTGAGCTGGAGTTGCGGTGGTACTGAGGCAGGATGAGATGGGAAACTGTTGGGGACTCAGGCAGAGGCTAGCCTACACTTGGGCCTGAGGTGGGCACTGGGTAGCCACACAGCTGTTGCTGTTGTGGATGTGAAGCTACAAGTGCCAAAGCCTCAAGCTTGTAGAGAGCCTGTGGGTGACCTACAGTAGTGAAGGAGGGCCTGGGTAGGGGCAGCGAGCACCAGGTGGGCCAGGGTGAAGAGGCACAGGTGTTGAAGAAGCCACTGGTGCTAATAAATGGTATCTCCGACTTTGTCTTACTGTGGCTGTGAGATAGGCACCCATCACATGTTGGCCATATGTGTGGAGCTGTGCTGTGCACGGGGACAACAGTGATCATGCTGAGTGGTTCAGCCAGAAGGAGGGTGTGCCAACGCTGGACCATGCTGAATGTAGACCCTCCCACAGATCTGTGGTGGGCATGTCCTCATTGTCATCGTTGTTGTGGTGGTGGTAGAGGGCAAGGCAGAAGCTGTTGCACGTCTGGGTTGTGGTCCAGGCCCTGCAGCAAAGCTGTCAGGAGGCTCTCACGCAACTGTCCTTGTATGCCCTTGGAAGGCAGGTCTGCACAATTGAGGCTGCCTTAGAGGCCAGGAGCCCTCCACTCCTGACTCCTGGATGTGTTCTTTGCTCAGGAGATGAACGTACACCAAGCCTCCTCTTCGGGCTGGTGGCAGGTTCTGGGCAGCAGGTGCTCTGGCATAAGCCCCTGGACAATGGTGAGGCTGAAGCTGGCTAGACATTAGCCCTGAGCTCTCTCTTGGTGGACAGTAGGTGGCGGTGCTTGTTACTGAACAGGAATATCATAGCAGGGAGCCTTGTAGTCCTCTTGGCTGTCCCCAGCAGTGACCAATACCTTGGAGAGCCATATCCTTGGACTGAGACTCTGGGAACGAGGGATGAGTGTGGCCCTTAGGGCCAAGGTCTGCTCTCTTGTGGTTCCTTTTCGAGTGCCCCACTACCTGTTCCATGGAGGTGTCCTGGTGAGGAGCCTCTCAGTGAGTCCCAGTTTTCTTGGATGAACCCCCTGCCATGTGAGCTTTAGCCCCTCCACCTAGCCCATCAGTGGCTCCAGCTCCTTTCACTGCAGTTCCACTTTGGACTTCTCCACAGCCACCTTCAGTTTGCAGACCACCTTGGGAGATGTACTGCAGTGTTCCTTTCTCTGGCTCTCTGTTAGGTTTATTTTCCCTGAATCAGATTTCTGCAGTTTCATGTGGGAAGCCCACTGCATTAGAGGAGGCTTGGCCATGATTTGAGGGGCTGTGGTAGGTCTGGGAGCTGTGCTGAGTCCCTGGGCCCATGGTCTCTGGGGGTGAGGGGCCACTCTGCTGGTGCACAAGCAGGACACTCAGCTAAGCTTGCTATCCCCATTGGGAGTACATCTGGGCAGACAAAGGCAGTCTCAGAGTCTGACTTTCCACTGGGGATATGAGGGTGCGGGCGGTCTCCCCAGTGTGCAACCTGGGCTAGGGGGCCCTGTCAGATGGGACAGAGGGGAGGGATGGTGGACGTGTGTGCGTGTCTGTGCCAAAGAGGCAAGGAGGCCACATCTCCTGACCTCCTCTAACCCCACAAGAGGAAGTCAGGATCACCATCAGTAACCCAAGGCCTATTCCTGCAAGGCCAGACATGCTGCCTCCCTCTAGCCCTTTCACCAACCGTTCCTCCCAAAGCACCCACCACCTCTCTCCTGGGTTCAATAATTCACTGCAGTGGCCACACACAACTCACAGATTACGGGGTTTATTAGGGA